GCAGACCTGGGTAAAACTACTTAGCAGTGAAAGCATGATATAATGACAGATAGAACCAAGGGAGGTAGCATAGTACAACAAACCGTTGCTGCTCAATACAAAAAGTGAACAGTACTGAAGAATTTGTCAATGGAAGAGTCCTACGCTGTCACAACATTTGACGTTTTGTTTTAAGGCGGGATATTTTACGATTACAACCGAGATGGTAAAACCTCTGAGGGGCAGAATTCAACGGAACACAAGATGAATATACCAACCTGGACCAATGGACCGAATCCACGTAATGTCTGACAATATTAATAGCTCTAACCAGTAAATAATGACTTGACCCACAAAAGCCAGACTATAGCGCCATGCCTTTGGGCGCCAAATAGAGAAAACCCCGCATAGTCCCTCCTCTTTCTAACAAAGCAACGATGTCTTCATATAAGTATTCCAAGTTAGTCGACGACGATATTCGACTTCTCACATTGCTGCCTGGCCAACCTGGGTCCGAACTTAAAGTCACAATTCATCATGCGCCACTTAGAGCTACGAGCGAGAAGTCTCATTATCGCATGCCCTTAGATGACCTGCAGAAGGGCTTGCCATTAGGTTGGGTAGCAGAAGAAACCGCTGAGGACAGATGCCTATTCTGGAACGAAAAGTTGCAGACCTCTTCATGGGTTCACCCTGATGGCAGTGTTACTGGAACCCTGCCCGGCTCTCATGCAGACGATGTTACATCTTCCCCGCTGTATGAAGCTCTTTCATACACTTGGGGCAGTGCGGATAAGCCCCAAACTGTCCAGGTTCTCTCCCAAGATGACCTACGTGAAATCAGGACACTTTGTATTGGGGGGAATCTCGCCGGGGCTCTGAATCATCTACGATATCCTGATAAGGCCCGGACACTGTGGGTTGACGCAATTTGCATCAACCAAAACGACATTCCTGAAAAGAATATTCAGGTTCCTCGTATGGCCGATATCTTCCGCTCTGCAGTCCGTGTCGTGATCTGGCTGGGGCTAGAATCGGACAATAGCACGCTTGCGTTATCGACGCTAGACTATTTGGCCGCACAGGTTGAAATTACCAAGGCAAGCTGGGTTCGACCTTCGCCTGGATGTGTGCACCAAGACTGGTTTCATTCGCTCACTGGTATGCCATATGACGACAGCACTTGGCAGGCTATTGTAGACTTGGCCAACCGTCCATATTTCACTCGACTATGGGTTGTGCAAGAGATCCATCTCTCCAACCACAATGCAGTCGTGCAATGCGGACTATCCCAGATGATGTGGCAACGATTCCGCAGGGCAATTGTCTGCCTTATGTGGAAGAGACATATCCCTCGCTGTATTTCTTCAAGCAAGCTCCCAATGCTCGGCACGTTCTGCTATAACTTTGAAGGCTTAAACTTCGCCACCTTGCTCCAGATGGTCACACATCTAGAGTGCTTCGACCCTCGTGATAAGGTATACGGGCTCCTTGGACTCGCTGCATCTAGCCTGCTGCCTCACATTCATCCTGAGTATGCTCTGCCTGTGGCAGAGGTCTATCGAAATCTGGTTCTAGGTCTGCAGGACCAATTGAAGCGGCTACATTTCGAGTTCTGTAGCTTGCGAACAAGTCGACCTAAGCAACTCCCTTCTTGGGTTCCAGATTTATCTAGCAACCTAGGCGAGTTGTTATCCCGAGCGGCGGGGTTGGTATCTGGGATGTCTCGTGCCGAGGCAACTTATCATGCCCCTAACGTTCTTGAAGTGTGTGGTATTCAGATAGCCACGGTGCAAAGTAACAAGGGGACGTGTCCAGCTGACACAACTAAGCGACTGACAGCGCTTCAGACTTGGAAGCCAGATAACTTGATGACAGGGATATACCCTACAGGGGAGAGCAATCTGGACGCGTTCATCACCACTCTCGTCCAGGGTAAGCTTAGGGATCGGTTCCCCACTATAGTCACTTGGTCCTCGCTTCAGGAACTTAAAAGTAAACTGAAGGAACTTCTGGCGAGCTCTACGGATCCGTCTGACGGGCACACAAATAATATCGATGCTTCCAGTTATGCTCATGAACTTCGGTTTCTTTCCGAACAGGCCTTTATTACTTGCAAAACGGGGTATTTTGGTGTTAGCCACAAGGACACACAGCCGGGTAAGTAAGGCCTTAGCCTGACTGTGTATTCTAGACACTGAATAATTGTAGGTGATATTATATGTGCCTTTCTTGGCTGCAAAGTATTAGTTATTCTTCGTCCGTGGACGGGCGGGTGTTTTCAAGTTATTGGTAGTTGCTATCTTCATGGGTTTACTAGCGCGGAGGCTTTCCTTGGCCCTCTCCCAGCCCCATGGGTTATGCAGTATAAGCCTGACTCTTGCGGAGTCCAAACCCCCTATTTCTTTAACAAAGACACGAAGGAAGCGGTCCATCAAGATCCTAGGTTAGGCGAGCTACCCGTATTGTGGGAAGCCATTCAAAAAGATAGGACAAAGGACGACCCCCAATTCTTGTCGTTGTTTCGAAACAGCTTGACTGGAGAGCTTATGAACTCCGATCCTCGTATGCTTCCAGAAGCTTTGCGTGATCGAGGGGTTAGATTACAGTCATTTAAATTAGTCTGAGACTCCCGGTAGGAGCTGAGAGTATTATTATTACACAAATCAGTATCAAAATAATTTCTCTTTGTTATCTGGAACCTACATCATCAAAGTGTTAGAATGTATTATTACTGTATCTTGATAGTCTGTTTCAGTAGTCATTGGCAGACCACCTCTCAGGAGCCCATGGTGGTGGATGGGGTGTTGGCATAGTATTCGGCGTCTTTGAAAGGTTTAGCAGATGTAAACACATAAATAAATACACTCTTTCCTTCATCTGCCCGCTACCAATTAGAGTCTTGCGAATAACGAAAGATAGTTGGTCTTTTGATAACACGAGGTGGACTTGCATAAGTTGACATGCAATTGGAACAAGCATTTTTTAACTCGGAGACAATGTAACTGAGCAGAAGTTGGCTTTACACCTCAAGCTCGGTGGCTCCAATCTGGTGATCATGAAGACAACTCAAGCAAATTATGTATCGAGACAGGGCGGAAAGATGGTTGCCGCGGACACCAATATCCGAACCATCGGAGCATGTTTGGCTTCAAGGGACTGAGAAGACGATTCTGGTAAAATAAGTCTCCTAATTATAATATAAGCTCTTAAATAGTATTAGAGAAAACGTGCATAATAAGCTTATGTCCCAGACAAGCATGCATCCCCCCCCCCCCCCCAAAAAAAAGGAAAAGTATCCATTAATCTCTCACTTTTCTATTTAATTAACAAAATCTCAACTAACAAACATGTCTAAATTCAATGGCAAGGGTAGTATTCTGCTTGCCCTTCAAGCCCTTCAATATAACTAAAAATTAACAATTCGACGCGCTGTCTCAATTTATCAAGTCTGCCCTAAAAAGCTAGGTCGCCGCCAGAAAGGCATGCAATCTCGACACGATTGGTTTCCTCAATCAAGTAAACTATCTGATCTAGAGGAACAGATCATAGTTCAGTTCATTCTCGACCTAGATTTGCATCACCATTATCATTTTTATCTTGATACTTATCTCTAATATTATAGTTGCTAGGGTTATACTTATCTTTCTTATATCCTTTATCTAGATTCCAGTTCAAGTTTATAGCCTCATGTATTAGAAGAGTAACCAGATATAGCATATAATATATAATAATGGTTTTATTATTTCTAAGTTATAGGTTGTATATATCATACTACTAATATATTTTAAAATTTTAAACTCTATATATATAATACATAAACGTTTTATATATTAATATAATCTAATTATATTAATTATCCCTTTAGATTATATTCAATATATAAGATTATATTTATTTATACTTTTATAAATTCTAGCCTTTTAGCTATTAATACAACCTCCTTATATCAATAAGCCTAATATATATTACTTAACTATTAGGAGATATAATACTTTGCTATACTTAGTATAATATCCTACGCAATCTGTAAACATAAACCTAGTATGGACTAGTTTCCCTGTTCAGAATCCCAACCATCACAGGAAACGATACCGACGCAGTTTATTATCCGGCTCCTTGGATACTGTTGAAACGGCTTTGAGAGTCAATGCATAACCTGACCTATCAAGTCTATCCTCTCGTATTTCATCGCAAACGCATCACTGATCTGTAAATGTTAACTATTGTATATCTTGTCATACTGACAACCCTTCTGAACCAAGTATAGCTTTTCTAATAAGCATATATCAAGAAGCCTCGATAACACTAAACAAGCAGTGGATGGTGAAAGTACAAAGGCTCTCTGCTGTCTAAATCTTCTTTTTAATATATAATTGCTCTCTTTATATGGCAAAAGGCCCATCATCGACCTTATACTATAGAAATTCTTGCTGGCCATAAGACTACCTGAATCTTCTTACACCTCACATATTCACAAGACAACGGCCAGCTCCATAGACAAACATGGTTCTAGACATGAACCCAAAACTTCTAGGCATGCCATTTATGTGAACTTCGAGCAGGCAGTAAACCTAGTTGACCCAAGTCGCTGGTACGGCCCTGAACTCTATTTAAAGTTGCAATTTTATGCAAGGCGACTCCGCGGGGCCCGCGCATAAAAGCCCCAATCTTTTGACACTTTCATTGAACTTTACAGAAGTCAGATGTTCATTTGGGCCGCGCCAATCAATTCTATACATCTAGCAGTCCTATGAGATGAAAAGGGGGTTGTCGTCGTCGTGATATGACAGCTAAGCCACGTACGACGTGGCTGTCTTCTGATAAGCAGAGCTCAAGACTTCTGGACCAATGGATCCCCAGGCGGCCCCAGGTCCATCCATCAGCTTCCCGTCTGTGCCTCGCACCTCTGCGCGTTTTAATTGGCCAGAGCGTATTCCTCGCTCATCAAAGGAGGCCACCTTTTCGCGGGCGCGTTTGAGTTTTCGGTTATTTCTGTCTTTGGAACTAGCCGAAAATTACAGGAGCGAGCTCTGACCACGTAATTGTGCCGGTTATCCGAGCAATAAACAGAGTGACAGGGGATGTGAAATTACGTGCCCATTTTAGCTGGGGAAATTTTTATTTCTTGAGAAGCAGTCGCTGAATCTATAGGATATTATAATAGCTTACGATAAAGAGTCGTAAAAGTTCGTGATAGCACGCAATTGAAGGTGTATACGCCAGCGATAACCCCAATGAATCCCAAACTGAACCATGTCCATGGCCTGTCTCCAAGCCATTTGAGCACCTGAGCGTCACTCTGATGCCAGGTCGCAGTTTCAAAGTCTGTCATATATGGCAGTAGCATCACAGGGTCCATGATGTGTATGGTTGGTGATGGTAAAATTGGCTGGCCAAGCAGATATTGTTGCACTGCCAAGGTCAAGAAGAGAGGCCCTGTAGACAGCATAATAGCTGCATAGGGTTGAAGACGAGCCCAGAGCCGTGTTGTCTGGTGAAAGCTGGCCAGCCTCGACACTGCTGATGCGAAAGCTGGGTGCCTTGCGGTTGAGATCAAAAAGTCATTCGTGATACCAGTCGGTAATGTCGATTTGAATAAGGCATGGTCGTTTCCTGGTAGTGATTCAATCTGATCTATAGGGAAGGACGAGTTGCAATATGTATCCATGTCCATGTAAATTCCGCCAAAATGATACAGAACAAAATAGCGGATGGCGTCTGCGCGCTGGATTGGAAAAGGATAGTTATCCCAAGTGTCGAGATACCAGGGGAATTCCTCCTTAAGAAATTCGCGAGCCCCGTCATCAGTCCAGAGCTTATATTCAAAGTCAGAATATGCTTCTTTGCAACTTTGCTGTGAGGTTGCCCAAATTTCTGGAATTGAGCTGTTGGGAGCTGTCTGATGTAAAATCCGCGGTATCTTCCTCCCATCTGGCCTTTGAAATGCTTCTGGATGTGCTGCATGGTCGACGGAGAAGTTGATTGCGAATAGTTCGTCATTCCGTACGAGCAGGGTGATGAGAGGGCGAATAGAATGAATCAACAGTCCGAGAATAATCAGGTTGATCAGGATTAGATATACTGTGAGCTTCCTGAATCTCGGAAATCCAAATCGTTTGTGAACGCATCTTTTATAAGATGGTGATTCCGACTCAAAGTGCTCCTCGTCGTACAGTCGTTCATATTTCCCAAAGCGCGCGCGCAAGTGTTGAATGATATTCTGGAGTGCCATTGTCCCGAGCTGAAAACATTCCAAGCGAAAGACTCCACGAGGGTTAAAATCTGGTCCTTCTCCGGTATTTATATGTCGTGTGACTTTTGAGCAAAGTTTGGTGCAAAAACACTAAAACTCCTTCACCTTCCAGCCCTCGCACCTTATATAGGATTTTAATTTAAATTCATTGAAGTGGGCAATGGCCGGTAAATAAAAAGACGCGTCGTCATGCATCCCTGCGCCAACTCAGCCTCGACGCTTTTTTGTTCTGGACTTCCTCCTTCTCCCCTGTGATTGGCGGTTGCGGGACCGTATGATGTTCCAAAACGCCTGCCACGTGCTATGGGTGACAGTGATGACCCGATCGGATTAATGAGCCATTTTCTCAGGTCGCTGATCGTCTCCCGCGGGCTGCAGCAAGTCCCCTGAATTGGGCAAGGGTTGAGACGCTGCGGGAACGGCTTCGTTGACGTCTGACTGACTATTCCCGTTCTGTGTTGGTGTAATTTGGTGGATACGAATTAAAAGTTGGTGGCTCATTGGGGCTGGATATACGGGTGAGCCGTCTCACTGAGCGTCAGCTATAAATACGCAAGGCAGACTCGGCCAGGTTTCATATCCTGTACAGATCAATGCATTAATCGAACGACCTGCAGCATTGGAGCTAACCCTCATCAAGATTCGTGGCTGAAGGTTCCCTTCAGCCCTGAAATAATCCACGGTCCCGTGTTTCGGCGACATTTAGCTTGTTTCTTAACAAAGTCTCCATTGATGTCTCGTTCCGTAAACGACTTTCGCATTCGCTACATGGGATCTCGTTCATTCTCGTTCGCAGATCGACATGAGATGGGAGCTTCCTCGTTGCGTCCAATGGCGCCGACTTGAACTAACGGAACCCCGCGGCAGCCCGCGGCATCCCGGCTACCGAAACTCAAAAGCAAGGATTGCATCAGCTCATCATCCATCTCGACAACACATGTATACTTCCCAATCTTTGCGATTGCCTGACACTGAAAAGGGTTGCTCAACTCGAGTATGCCACGACGTGGTTCGAACGTAAAAGGAGTAGATGCTGTCTCGAGGTCATCAGAATCACTAGGTATTTATCACAAAGTATCATCTTAGGCAGCAGTGAGGGCACAAAAGTATATACCTTTTTGTCAAAACGTGCCCTTCACTCTTGTGCGCGTGCTCGAAAGCTTGTTTTGACCCCTCACCAATCTTATATATACAGCATGCCTTAACAGTTCTTTCTATTGCACCTTTGGTCAAGAGGCTTCCCTGACCTCACTCTTTACCAACAATATGCCCTTGCTCGGCATACCCTCCTTATCCAGCAACCTCAAGAAGCGATATCCAAGCCTCAACCTGTCTAAACGAACACAAGCCCAAGCGGCCATGACATCAGGTCCAGGTACATCGTTCATGACCCTGAATGAAAGGAAAGCCAGTTCTGGAACAACACCCTCGACATTGAGAAACTCAACCGTCTCGCCTCCGAAGTCTGGACTGGTGCCTTTGCTTTTACCTGTTTCTCTACTGTACCCAATTTGCTTGACCTGTTCAGCAGTAGCATTTTCGTCGACCATGGCTGAGAGTGCATCTGGCTCTGTGTGCAGGCCAATCTTGACATAAGGGATGAACTTGGCAGGATCATCATGGCGGCTGAGTAGCGGGAGGTTCTGTGCTGCTATGATTGTGATAGCCACCCTTTCCAATGTCTTGCTAGGGATGTGAGACTCCTCAATGCTATGTTGTTCACTTGGGTCATGACGATATCCCTCAGGCTTGAGAACATATCCATCCGAGCCCATGAACATACCCTCGTTAAGTACCATGCCCAGGTCCCATGATTGCCAGTTGAGAGCCACGACCTGCACACCAGCACGCCAGAAAATGACAGGGTCGTAGTTGGACGAGTCAAACCGCATACCATGTGGATAAGTCCGCATGAGGAACTGTCTGTTATGAGAGAACAGAGCCTTTGGCATGCGTCTCTGGATAGCAAAGGCTGCATTCTCTGAAAGGGAAAAGATGTGATTTGGCATCGACGCTTCGGGCTCCTCTAGTGACTTGAAACTAATCCCTCGAGTATGAATACCAAGGCGGCTCAGTCGAGGGATGATTTTGGGTGGCTTGACCTTCTTGACCTTCTTCTCGTCCCCCTCCACAACAACCTCAAGCATGCTCTCGTCATCCGTACTATCAGGCGTGTCCTTGCCCTTTCCTTTGCCGTCCTCTGGAACATATTTGACCTTGACCAGAATCTTGTTCCTCAATTCGTGAGGAGATGGTAGGCAATCGGACTCGAACTCGGGTGCAGGGAGAAGATAGTCAGCCCAGACCTCCTCCATGATGTTGACCATTGCGCCTTGTTGTAGTGGAGAGCAGTGAACTTCCAGACTGACGATGAGTGGAAGATCAGACGTGGTAAAAGCATACTCTTTAACGGTCTGGCAGACGTCACGGAAGAGAACCTCTTTGGTGAGAGTAAATCCATGAAGGACTCTTGGCTCAGCGTCGATAACATCCAAGAGTCTGTCATCAACCGTCTTGCCATCGGGGTCAACAGGATCAAACTTATTCATGGCCCAACGCCCAATCTTGATGATGGCTCGATCTGCAAAGCCCATTTTCCTTGGCGCAGCTTCCCTAGAAACATCCTTCATTTCTCTTTCTGCTTCATCCTCTGAGCCGAATCCTGGCTTCCATTGTTCCTTGCCATCCCAGACATCAATCTCGATGCAGCGACATCCACGTAACAGGGCATCTCTGTACGCTTCAGTGCTCGAGTCGCTGGAAAGTTGGTTCCCGGTGAGGTAGGTGTTATGGCTTGAGCTGATGAAGTAGTTGTTCAATGGCCAGGTCAGATCTTGAGGAGCGGCCATTTCGAGAATGTTGCCACATGGTGATGTGAGATACTTGATGAGTTCAGGTAGATTTAACTCATCTTGATCGACAAGATAACTTGCCAGGCCATCGGGGTTTTCGACTTGGACGTGATGCATGAAGAGACCGATCTGGTCTCGATGCCAGGTGCCATTAGGTCCGGCATACTTGTTGAACAACTGGGTGAAATGGCTGAGGAAGGACTCTTCTAGATTTTCCTCAATGCCGTTGCGCTGGCCAGTCGGATGTCCACCACCAGCCCTGTATCTGGCGAGCGGGAAGTTCTCGGTCATTGATTTGACAGACATTGCGATCTCATGCAGAAAGACAGATGAAAAGCTTTAGTTCATAAAACACGCTCCATGAGCTTAGACTTTATAACATGAGGCCAAGACATAGCCTCATTCTTCATTTACGCCATCTGGTCGAGGCTTAATATTACGGGCTCGCCGTTTTAGATGCGGAAAAAAGACCGTGATGTCTGTGGGCCAATTCACTGTCAAGCTCATGAGGCATTGTGCTTGGCAAGCGAATAATATGAGAATGTTATACAAGCCGGTTGTTCGGCATTAGGCCATGCCTTGGCCCGCGCCTTGACCCTATACCAATGAGTGTTTTTTTACGGACCGACGAATCAGAGCGCGTATTTTGACTCCATTTGTTACTCAGCACCAAACTCGGTGGGCTTGACAAGACGGCATATAATTTGCGCCTAGATATAGTCCATCATAGCTCGCGGTTATTGTTTTCTTGGCCAGAGGTATGGTAATTCGGGTCAGGGGCAGCCAATCAGACTATGCCGTGTCCCAGTTAGAGAATTATTTCGAACCTCAGTTCGTCGAAAGATTTGTGGATCCACCTTATAGGGCTGGAGGAGGCAGCCAATTCTCTAACCAGTCTTGATGGAATGAACAAAATACCCTTTGGCGTATTGAAACAATAAAATGCAAACTCGCCAATTATTGCATTTATGAGCAGTGATTCAATTATAGCGACTTCCGATTTAGTGACTTGTCATGAAGCACTTTTGTAAAACCTCGTAACTAAGCCAATCATCAATGAGCCACGTATCAATTCTCGCATCACGACCCATCTTATAGCCGTCAGCATCCTACAGCATCACCTCCAGATCTCCATCATCCATCATGTCTGAGTCTTCAAAGAAAATCGTCTTCTACGACATCACTGCTCGCCAGCCGGTGGAGAAGAACTGCTTCTCTCCAAACCCGTGGAAGAGCAGATTTGCCCTCAACTTCAAGGGCGTCCCATACTCGACGTCATGGGTAGCCTTGCCAGACATCACCAAAGTGCGCACTAGCCTCAAGGTCCCCGCCTGTCGCAAATTCAACGATGGTAAAGAATTTTACACTCTGCCCATCATTGAGGATCCTTCAACTGGGTCTGTAGTCGGCGACTCCTTCGACATCGCTATTTACCTACAAAAGACCTACCCAAGCTCTGGCGGAGGGGACCTCTTCCCCACTCAGACGTTGGACTTTGACTTCAAGCATCCTTACATCCTCGTCCCCCTCTCCGAGTGGCGCGACAAGGAAAACCCCGAGTACGCCAAGTTCAATCTGAACATCGATGCGGCGTTTACTGCACATGTTCAATTGGGAGTTCAGGGAATGCCGTTCGATCCAGCTTCTGAGGAGGAGAGCAAGGCTGAGTTTGTCCGACGCGCGGGGGTAAAACAGTGGGACGATTTCGCGCTAGTTGGCGAGGCTCGGGACAAGGTGATGAAGTCTCTTCGAGAAATGCTGGGTAATCTTGCAAAACTGTTCACGAGGGACACGAGTGGTCCGTTTTTGCTTGGGAAGAAGGCCAGCTATGCGGACATGGTTGTTGGTGCGTGGCTGAGAATGCTGCATGCTACTCTGCCTGAGGATGAATGGGCTCAGATTGCGGGCTGGCACGATGGTACCTTTGGTCAGTTGCATGAGGCTCTGGATGCCTATGCAGAGGTTAAATAGATCTGATACAGTGTTGAAAGAACCCAAGATCTCTATAGAATAAACTCATGTCGGGCCGCGGACCCCGATACCCCACATATCTCGCGCAACGCCTCGGCTACCAATCTTGAATGTAACCCAAAGCTTTATATTTTTCTTGGATTGTTGGAACTCATCTGTGAAGCGCAAAGACATTCCCAATACACTTAGATCGCAGATTCGATTGTTCAGCAAGGCACCATGGCGCTGCTATCATGGTGCCAAGTCGCGTGGCACGCCTGCGTTTTGATCTGTCGAATCCTTCTGCTTGTCCCATCAGCTCTCTACTACATCATCCCAAGCAATCGTCCCCATGATATCTGGACACTACACCAAGCATTGGGTCGAAAGCTCATGTTCAACCTAATGCAGTTCTATACTAGTATTCGCCTCATAACCCCAATGCCAACGGAACGCAAGGATTTGGGGTCGCGGTTTATATCTATTCCGCCAGCGTCGGACCGAGATGTCTACCGTGGACCCTTGAAGGATGAGGTCATACAACCAGGTACGGTTCGGGCCGTATGGTACCCTGAAGCTCATGACTCGTCTTCACTGTCCAATCTGGCATCTGGAGAGTATCTTCTTCTTCACTTCCATGGCGGCGGTTATGTTTTGGGAAGCCCTCTACCACTCGACAGTGGGTATTTCGCTGGTGTGTTCGCAAGATACATAACACCCACGGTCCTGTTTGCTGGGTACAGATTGACATGCGTGCCAGAGGGGCGTTTCCCAGCAGCCCTTCAAGATGCTGTTACCGCCTATCTGAATGTCTTGTCTCTAGGGGTTTCAGCAGAAAACGTCATCGTCAGTGGTGACAGCGCTGGTGGCCATCTTGTCATCTCCTTACTGAGATATATCAGCGAGTACCTGCCAGACACTCCAAGCCCCAAGGCTGCTTTACTATGGTCTCCGTGGATCGATATTCCAGGAGCGACACCAGCGCATCACGTCCGACAACGAAAGAACTACAGCACGGATTATTTACCAGCCGACTTTGCTGAATGGGCGACCGAGTCCTTTGCTCCTCAAAGTATCATCGATCGGAATGGGCCATATGTCACTTTGAAGGGCAAACCGTTCAGAACCGAGACGAAGCTCTGGGCTCACATTGGAGATGCAGAACTCCTCTACGATGAAGTTGTCGAGTGGGCTCATGATATGAGAGAGGCTGGAAATGACGTGACTATACGCATTGAACATGGTGCCCCGCATGACATTGTTGAGAGCGGCCATATCAACGGGTTTCGAAGGGAAGGTGGACAAGCGGCCAAAGCTGCGGCGGAATGGCTGTGACATTGCCACTCAGTTTGGTATCCAATTGATATCACTTGCTGTTCGTCAAACAGCCGCGTGTGATTTTAGAACTTCCAGCATTGACGCATTAAATTCGTACTGACTTTATCTTACATCCACGGTCCATAGTTTGATATTACTACCTTTATCGAGGAACTTCTCCTTCAGTCGGCGCATTGACCGAGTGTGCATCCGCCGAATGAGCATCCGTTGCCTTTGTAACATCGTGTCGCAGTATGCTTTCCTGCGAGTCAAGCTCCGCGGCCCCAGATCCAAGATACTTCACGTTCGTCATGTTGCCTCGATCGTCGCTTCGCAATTTCCTACTGTCGCTGAGCTCAATATTTGAACGAGGTTGGCCGGTTCGGGAATTGCCGTAGTTCTGGTATCCGGAGGAGTTGTAGTTTTTATATCCTGGAGAGGATCCGAAGGCTCGGCGACCCAAGAGGGCATCGACGAGGGGTTGGAGTACTGGGATACAGCAGGCGATGATAATGGTACTCGCTTCGATGCTGGGAGGCGCAAGGTCAGTGCTCGTTCGTATGCCAGGGCATATCATGTTACTTACACAGTCCAGATCACAAGGTCGGAGGTCTCATCTACCAATTGTTAGTACAAGGACGCAAAACAGGCCAGATATCACATACAAGAGAAGTCTTTACTTGCAAGCGATGGCAGACGGGTGCATTTGTAGATGGCTACAATGGTAGCACTGAAGACGGATGTCAGCATTTTATCTGTATCTTCGTGCCAATGGGATACTTACATTGAGCCGATGCCTAAAGCAAACGACAACGCGATCTTCTTCCGTTTGTTCATTTGGAGATGGAACAGAACCACGGCAGGGTACACAGCAAGATACAAGTCCGTAAATGCAGACAAGGCTGGTCAAATGTCAGCCAGGCGTTCTTGGCATCAACGCAGTTTACCTACCGCCAGCAAAAATGGCAAAGTTGACAAGAACATAAGGACTCCAGCACTTCTTGTCGGTAATGGAGAACGTCCATTGGGACTCGACAGGCGAGCATTGGGCGAAGAGAATAATGATACATCCAATCAGTCCCATCATGCAACATCCAGCAAGCACCCAGAGAAATATCTTGTGTAATCGTCCGGGATTCATAAGTCGTGTAATGAGTGCGACGACGGCGAGCTTGGGAAACCCAAAGGCCATGACGCCAAATGGGAAGCCCAAGATGGTGTAGAGAATGACATTCTGCTGTTGGGTCACGTTCAAAAGATCGAAGTGTCTGCCATTACCGTTCCTAACAGCCACAACTGTAACGCCAACTTGGCACCATTCGAAGATCTTAAGATGGATTAGAGACACATAGACAAAAAGAGCGAGGGAACAAACCACTGCAACGATTGTGAACCAGTCATCAAGGTGCAACGCGCCTATGATCCGTTTTCGAGTATACACACGACCAGCAACAAAGATCGTACTCAGTATAGAGACAGTGATGACTAGCCCAAGAATAGTTGGACCTTTATCGGCTTCAAGATACGCCTGCGTGTGATGAGGAGGAGAAGAAGAAGACATTGTCTGCCAAGCGCATTCGTATACGAAAAATAACTCAAGACAGAATCTCATTCACTCATGTTGGTTGGGTCAAATCCAGAGGATTGGGTCTTATGTCCTGCAGGAACAAGAGACATGTTTGCAGAAAGGGGGGGGCAGAGCCGTTTGATCAGAGGCACAGGAGCCCAACCATGCTATACTTCTTGGGACCATGGATCATCGAACCTTTTGTCACGAATCTTGTCACAAGAAGCCGGGATTAACTTTTGTTAACGTGAAAAGGATTTTTGTTAATACGACTCTGCCGAAGGATTGGCAACCATGATGCCGCATTCCCCGAAACATTGCTTTTTATTCTCAAATATGTCGACATATACACCTAAGAACCGTTGAAGTGGTTAAATCTCGCAAGGTGGGCAGACTCCAAGTAGAAGGACAAGGTTGTCGGTGGAGTGATGTTGCAGATGTCGACGCGTAACGAACAACCAACAACCAACAACCGTTACTGATAGTGGGGGCCATTTCCGCTTCCCCGAATTCGACTGAGACTCAGGGGTTGAAGTGTCGATCCAAACCCTCCGAAGGATGTGTCGCCAAGGATTGTTCTAACCCTTGCTTGACACTTCAGAACCACCTGATATGACAATTGATTGTACTGCTTTTATCCCCGCCGTAACAGACAATTCCTCGCATGTTCTTCTCAGGCCACTGTAGTAGTGAAGAGAATGAGGGTGTTGTCTATTAAGATAGCGAGATACTTGATATTATTGAGTGTTTGCGATTTACCGCGTATTTATACTACGTACCTCGTATGTTCGGCTCTTCCCAGTCGTCATTTTGCTTGGCACACCAGGACCCAAAGTAGCGTAATTGGCGAAGCGGGCCAATTTCCCGCTGCTAGCTACCGTCCGTTGGCTCTGCTCTTGGCGACCACTTTTCTCCATTCTTCGCTGTGACAGGTTCTAGTCTCTTCTATACGGCATGAAGACGAAAAAAAGGCCTCCTCTACTGTCGTGCTTAAACATATTGATATCTTGGTATCCCTTTTCAATTCTGAAAAGTCGTTGCCTTCAGATGAATATTGTTCCTTTATCTTTTTAGGGATCTGTTCTACTTTCTCGCTATCCCTTCGCTTGCGTTGAGCCTGGTGTCAAGTTGTCGTCTCTTTCCCCTCTAACAAGGGTTTGAGCAACTGTGTTGGTTCGACGTAGCACTCGGGGAAGCCCCTGATCAGGATCATAACCATGCTGTTGGTTCGACGTTGCAACTGCTAGGTCCGCAACGGAGCTTTGTCCCAGCTACCCGTTAACTTAACGCAGATCGTTCTCTGTGTCCTGGCAAACGTATCAATGTCGTCGTATGATCCAGTGATCGGCACTGGCAGACCTCTCTCAACGAACCAGTACATCTTGTCATATCCTTGGTATGCAAAAGGTTTACCAGGAAGGTGGTGTCAGGCCGTTTCGAAGATCTTCTGAAAGCAACCCGAACGACTGGACTCTACGAGGCTCCTCTGCCAGGCTTCTAATTGGCCAAGCTCACAACCACATGCAACAGAATGGACCTGTAACGGTTGGAGGATTGAGGGTCGACCAACAGCCAAGCCATCATGCCATGCATTGACGAGCTCTGGGCACTTCTGCATGTCAAGGCTGCTTTCTTTTCTTTTTTATTGCCGTTGATCCCTCCTGAATCACTCACTCGCGGACATTACCTTGCTTGCACTTTCTCAAGTGGATCATAAGTTTTATACACAAGGCATTTCTTTTCACAAAGTCCTTCATTATGGCTGACACAACTGTTTCTCACACAAACGGACATACTGTCCCGGAAACGGAATACCGTGGAACCGAGAAGAAGCTCGAAAGTTCCGTCTCAGCTTTGAGTTCCTCTGGATCTTCGGACGGCACCCCAGATGCCACCAACGGTACCAAGTCGGAAGAGCCCGATGTGTCTATTGCCCTGAACGCCGCCAACATTGACGCCGTCCCCTCTCTGATCAAAGAGATTAATGCTCTTAGCGGCGATCTAGGTAGTGATGACCCAACAGCGCGCCTCAAGCTCATGGCAAAGGCCAAGAGCCTCTGGCAGTCACTCGAGACTCCCAGAGAGACCATGCTTCGCCATGTTTGGGCCGAGCCATCGCTTCACTGCGCCTTGACGGCTGGTACCGTCAAGGAAGTCTGGACTCATGTCGCCAAGATCGATGGACCGTTCAAAGTCGCTGATGTCGCTAAGGAGAAGAACATTGAGCCTGCTCTTCTTGGTGAGCGCATCACTATCTCAGCTCCTGTATCATTTCACTAATAATATGAAGCTCGTCTTGTGCGCCATGTCTCGTCCATGGGCTACATCACCGAGATTGATCAGGATACATACCAAGCCACAAACTTCATCAAGTCGATGGCTTTCCCATTCATCAACGCTGGATACCCTTGCATGTGAGAACACTCTCAAGACTCTGGTATACATCTGATGCTGACTTTATCTCTAGCTCCGGAGCCTGCCTCAACGCTCTCGGTCAATTCCATGAATGGGCCGACGCCAACTCGTGGAAGGATGCCACTGACATAAGCAACTCTCCCCTGCAGCTTGGTTACAAGACAGAAAAGACATTTTTCGAGCATCTTCACACCAACCCGCCATATGGTCAATTGTTCCATCTTCACATGGGTGGCTACCGTCAAGGTCGACCATCTTGGATGGATGCAGGTTTCTTCCCCGTACAAGAGAAGCTTATCAATGGCTTTGAGAAGTCGGATGATGCTCCTCTGCTGGTTGATATCGGTGGCTCATTTGGACATGATATTGGAGAGTTCTGCCGCAAGTTCCCCGATGCCCCAGGTCGTCTCGTCCTTCAGGATCTTCCCGTCGTGATTGATCAGATCACTTCACTGGACAACAAGATTGAGCGAATGAAGTATGACTTCTATACCGAGCAGCCCATCAAAGGTAAGGAGTCCTGCGTCCCTTGCAGTGATTCTTTCTAACCTGACTCTAGGTGCCCGTGCATACTACATGCACTCCGTCCTTCATGACTGGTCAGACGACACTTGTCTCAAGATTCTAGCGCAGGTTAAAGCTGCCATGAAGCCTGGATACAGCAAGCTCCTGATCAACGAGAACGTCATCCCCAACACTGGTGCTCAATGGGAGGCTACGGCATTGGACATTATGATGCTTACTCTGCTTGCGTCGCGGGAACGTACACAAGAGAACTGGGAGAAGCTTCTCGGCGAGGCTGGACTGAAGATCTGCAATATCTGGACGGTCGCAAATGGAGTTGAGAGTCTGATCGAGTGCGAGTTGGCTTGAGCGAGCAGTACTCACGAAGTTAGCTACTGCCGAATGTTGGTGGCTTCTCATTGACGTAGAACACGATAGATCATACATACACAGCATCATGAAGGAAAATAAAGATGATTAGTATCTCAAGGGATTCAAGCACTATCAATAGATTAATTCCGACCTAATGATA